TATATCTCGCTGGTGGTAGCTAATTGTGTTATTCCGGTTGTGCACGATACACTGCTGAATGCGATCGATCGAACGTAACTCTTCGATCACGAAGAGGCAATGTAGTAACTCTAACGGTATCTAATTACGACGTTGACACAATTCTTTAAGCATCAAATCGTTTCATATGAATGAGCCTCCTCTTATGCTAAGCTCTGTCCGTTTCGCGAAAGAAAAAAATAAGTCCTCGTCGAGATAATAAATCGTTCCGTAATCCGCTGACGTTTATTCCACCCGGGGAATTGTATACTAACAATTCTCCGCAAGGAAATATTGGCACGTAAAGTAGTACAGCGCGAAATGTCATTTCGTGCGTTTTCTGTATCGCGAACATTTACATGTAGCAATGTCAGTCATTCTCCTTCAGAGGCACTTTTTCTTTCCCGAGGAAAGGAGGCTCTGCTGAGCGTTCCTTCTCACGCGTTCCTACTCTTGTTTCAGGCCTGCTATTTATCGGGCCTGTATTCTAAGAAAAGATTTTAATCGGTTTTCTAAATAAACGGTCGGTGTTTGAAATAAACCATCGGTACGTAATGCAAGCGGTCGGTATTGTCGTTAAAATATTAGTAAACATAACAATTTGTCGGTATTTTAAATAGACGGTCAATCTGTGTAATAAAATATCCTCGTAAAAATTGAAATTTTATTGAATCAAACAACGAATTAATACAACCGATCGAATAAACAAAATTATACTGACAAAGTGCTATGTAATACGGATAATTAATTATTCACACTGACCAAAGTATTTATTTTCACTGACTGTTTATTTTAAGTTATACTTACCACTGATTACAAAAAAATACCGACCAAATAAGTAGAAGTGTTATTTCAGCAGGTTCTGCCTGAAGATGTGGCGAGAGAAAGGACGTAAGCAAAAAAGATTTCCGATTTTTCTTTTTCTCCTACGTATGTGCATTTTGGGGGGGCGAAGCATGGTTCGAGCAATGTAGTAAATTTAAGTTTGTATTTTTATTGAAACTTCGCATAGAGAGTTATACTTTTACATGCATTTCTTACATTATTGGTTTACCATTTCTCGAGTTGCTTGAGGTTTCAAATGGCAATTGTAGAAAATTTAAACATAGAAATTGCATTTTTTTCAAAAATATACATACATAGGAACACGCTTCGATATCTGGTTCATAAAGTGACGATCTCATGTTCACCATTGTCAATTTAAATTATCTTTTGAACCACTCTCAGTCTGATATATTTTTTGCATCGTAATGAATTTTACCGATAGCAATATTTTTCTTTCCAATGCAGTAGCGATTGTTTGAAAATGAAACACTTGCGAAATACAAGCGCATCTGAGGAAACGATCCATCATTTTTAACGAAGTTTCATCGTGGATTTGTAATTTCGAACAGATCTCGTGATAAAATTCACCGCTGGATTTAACGCATTCGACCAGTGTGTACCGGGTAATCAGAATAACAAGAAGCGTTATCGCGATGCAACGAGCGTGAAGGGGGAGATTTTTTTTTACGAAAATTTTCGCATGCACTTAACTAAAATACTCGTGCTGTAAAAACACCATTTTAATTTCAACGTATTTGGCGCATGGACTTAATTAAAGTGCTCGTGGTGTAAAAACTCCATTTTAATTTCAACGCAAGCGGAATGTGAAGGGAGGTTAGGTTAGGTTCGTCGAAAATACAATAATAACACTGCATTTCCTATTTAAAGTTTTTTCACAACGAGTAACTTTTTAATTTAAAGAAGAAACAACATACCTTTATCCATTATAATCGACAGATTTCAACAAGAATACAAATATATATCCGTATACTTGGACAAGATGGAGGCAAACTTTTCAAAGCTATTTTTCTCGAAGAAAGACGATTTGTATAAAAACTGTTGTACGAAAAATGAGAAATTATTTACGAAATGAATTATTAAAAATGTTCCACGAAAAATTATCCCCTTTTGACTATACAATCGACGATGTACCTTGCGTACAATGATTTTCGTTAAACGTTTGAACTGCTGTTACTGGGAGAATTTTCACTGGAAGGAACAAGATACACGCTGTTAACATGAAAACTGGCATGGTTGAACCATTCGATCGCCACGTGTTCCGTTTATCTTAACCATAACTCCATGCTTACGGAATTAATGCACGTGATCAGGAATGTTGAATGAGAGAATTCTAATCACCGCAAAGCCTGAAACTCGCTGCTACAAAAAATACAAAAAGTGTCTGACGCAGAGAACCGATCTGAAAAAATCACGTCTACGTAGTTGTTGAGTAATATCTGAAGCGGACGAAGCGTATAATGTGACGATTTTCTAGAATTTTCAAATCTCCGTTCTCCGTTGATCGAGTTTCAATGAAAATTCTCCGGCACTTCCGTGTTCGTTACGTTGAACAATCGAAGTTTACGCTGCTCGCCAAAAAAAGAGAAAAAAAATTGCAACGCCTAGAAAGTGGCGTTGCACAAGTCTGGAAATCATTTTTTTAATAAATAACACATTTTTCCGTTTCCCAAACGATATATAAATTTCAGATTTGTGCTATTTCATTTTTATGGTGTTGCAATTGTTTTTTGACGAGCAATGTAATATAAAGCTGTGAGTAGTGCAATTTCCAGGAGAAACAAGTACAGTTACCGTACGTCATTTGTTTGAATAACTGATGATTAATGATTATTGGTTCGAGTTAACGGCTTCATTGTTTCGCAGAACAAACATATTTTCTAATAATATCATGGCAAAGAAAAGCTCGTTAATTGGAGCAGTTATTGTTATTGCTCGTTAAAATTTACCATTCGTAAATTTTTTTCCAAAGTCGTACCATTTTATTATAGTAATTGCTTCTGTCATGAGTATCGGTGATACTTTTTATTGGTATCGATCCTTCGGAATTATTTAATCATAGATCATTTTCAACGGCTACAGAACTACGTGTAAACTGTAGAAACGTTTGAATATGTATTTACATACATATGAAGAATACTCGAAATTATCGTACTAGAAGGATAACATCAATCTTAATTACTCGAATTTTGATTAATATCAATGTTGCAGGCAATAAATGACACCGGAAATTTCATCTGTCCTATTCTTGTCTCCATCTTGTCAACGCAACTCGTTAAACTGTAGTATACATTTTAATTTGAAATTTTTTTATTTCGACTTCAAAGATAGATCACGCACAGGTGTTTCGATCATTTTTGCATAAAGAATAATCGTTTGTAGGAATCGTTGAATTGCATCGATATATCGCGTTTGAACGGTACTGAATATTTAAGTATTATCTAAGTACAGTGACATTAGTATGCGATCATTGCTAAGTGAAGTGCCATTTTTCAACGAGAATATAAAAATCTACGTGAAGAAAGAAATTTTGTTTTACCCCAAATAGTCCCTCAATTTGTCCAGGTTGTTATATTATTTATTTCAATGCGTCAAATTTAATGATCGCGGAATGGAAAACAGATTCTTTATATATTATTTACGTGTACGTATTACGTCTCACAGGAACCACAAAACCAGTATGTTAATTATCCTGTGAAGCATCGCATGAACATTCCTGGTATTGTTCAATAATTCATTTAATACTACGCATCTCAAAACCACGACGTACCGAGCAGATCGTTTAATTCAATCTTTGGTCTTGATCTAAAAAAGAAAAAAAAAAGGACACGACTCAGGGTTTCGATATTTAAATCTCTTATTGATACGACAATCGAATTAGGAACACAGCTTTTACCTTAGCTTGTACCAGTCAATTTTTAAGGAAGGTTCAAATTTGCACGAGCGATATTCCCTCCCTATAAAGGAAGAGCTCTTATTAAAAATCATCATGTGATCTTTTCAATGTTGGCAAAATTAAGTATTATAATGTTAAGGTTAATAATTAGAATGTGGTGGAAATTTGGTAAAATATAGTATTATTACTGATATAAATTTAATACGATCACATTTTATTATTACCTACAGGAGAAAGGTGAACAGAAACACTAACAAGTGAAAGCTGAAATTTTTTAACATTGATTTTTTTGCCGATTTTGCGTGCAATGAATTAAATTGCGTATACAATAGTTAGCGGAATCGTTACTACGAAAGCCTTATTTATATCAGTTTTCATAAAACGCATTGCGAAATGTTAACGAGCCAACGAAATTTTATGCAACACGATTTTCGCGCTCTTACGTGAGAAACTGTAGCTTATCCGCGCGTGAATCTGACATAATTATGTTATCAATTACATCTAACCTCGTGTTACAATAACGTGTACAATAAAATGTATAGTCCTTCTGCATGATTCCTCTATGATTTAGCTTGGTTTTAATTGCTAGACGACGTTCTGTTGATAAACCATCTCGATAAAAACGTCTCTTTAACAATTTAAAGGCAATCTTGCGAATGGATATTTCATAAAACATGAAACAGATGAAAACATTAATGTCGCGTACCTATTTACCAGATTACAAAGTCTGAAATTAAAATGAACGTCTCGCCACTTCTCCAACGCAATCTCCTAAATTCTAAAAAGGAGACTTCCCGCGTAAAATCAATTGGTCGCCTATTTTCAGGTAAAAATAAAATCATTTTTCTTCCTTTTTACTGTCTTAAGCTTTACTAATCCGTTGCACCGTGAAAATAAAAGCGATCGAATCGCGTTACAAAAACCATCTTTTTTCCGTTGGCAAAAATAACAACGAAAGGACAGGAACAAAGGAGAAAGGTGGTGCAACGAAAAAATAGAAATCCTTGAATGCATTACATATTACGAAATTCAGCTCGGTGGAAGGTTTAACGAATCGCAGAAAAGAAAAAAGAACCGACAGAAGCGATCTTAGAAAGTCTATAGAAAGAAAATCTAACAGCACAACGGGACTAGGACATTGAACTAATCGGTGATTTTCATTTTTTCAGGGTCGCGACGCGTGCGAACTAAACAATGAAGTCTGTCTGAGCACCGCTCGTGTAATTTCGCTCCTCTGGAATATCGGTGCCTATTCGAGAAATTTGTAAAAAAAAGAAGAAAAGAAGAGAAACCGACAGACTCGATTCTCCGTCGAACAGTCCCCTGTGAACATGTCCAAGTACAATATCCAAGATTTCGACCTCGAAACGGGGAAACAGGTCCGGTTAACCGGATACAGTAACGCCGCCTTCGAAGACCCACTTCAGAGCAACAACAATGATTCCGATCAAACTACCGAACTCGAAAATAGGCTGAGCAGCATTCGTCCTTGCACTCAGGACAACAAAACTGTGAACAACGATGGTAAGTGTGTATTATTTTTTATTCCTTTTCATAACCTCCGTTTTTTAATCGCCAGTGTTAACCCCTTGATGTATGATTTCTTTTCCTGACTGTGCATCTAAGCGTCAGCTGTTTACTGTTTTAGTACTGTATTAACCCTTGGCGGTCCTGTGTCGAGTGAAACTCGACGTAAGAATTTTTGCCTTCAGGTATCGTATAATGATAAATTATAAATGGTAATAAACCATTCTTTTATGCATCAATATTATACGGAAACTTAGTATTTTATGAAATGATATTACGCTGAAATATTGAAATAAAGGGAAACGACCGTGGTACTGCCCGAGAGTGACCAAATGAGTGCAGAGTAACTGGAGTATTTAGACCGCAATTAATTAAATTTGGTAATCTTCAGTTTTATAAATTAAATCGACAATTAGAATTATCCCACGGCGCCGGAATGAATTTTTTTTTTTTGATACAACACATCGCAATATGCATAAATAATATGTAAACAGTTAGAAATAAAACTATTTAACCGTTTGAGTGCCAAGGAGCGCGGTCGCGTATTAGATGAAAATTTGACAAATATTACCATCTACTTAAATGAAATGCTCTTACTAATCTTGTCATCGTTGGTCACCAATGACTCTCCACGGTTTTCAAAGTGTTAATCACGCACGCAACATCCCACCGCACGCTACCGGAATACGGAAATAGAATATAAAACATCCCTTGGGCGATCCAAGTTACAATAACCGATTTTACGTAGAACACCGTATAGATACTGAGGCCAATATCGCTATTGTGTCGTCGGTTATTGGACAGTCGACGACGACGACTACTACAACGAAGACGGTTTTATTAGTAACGTCGGTATAGGTAGAATTCAATGTACCGAAAGTTTTTTATTAATATCTCGGAAACTAATAAATACCCAAAGTTAAAATTTTATAATTTAAGGCACCCCGCTGGTGCCTTTCGCAACTACAGCCCTTTATACTGCTAAACTCGAGATACATATGTATACAGAGTGTTGATCCGTAATAAGCAACTGGTCAACATTGAAGTCGGCCGCCGAGTGAGAGATCCGAGAACGAGTCCGTGAAAGCGAGAAGTCATAAATCTTTAACGGTCCACAGTGGGCCAGGAACCCCCAAAAACTGGCCAAAAGTCGATTTGAGAATTAACGTAGAAAAGACATATCATCATACTCAGGAATAGTTAATGTACATATCTACAAAATATTTTGTCGATTCAACAATTCCTGTTCCACTGGCATTGATCTAAAGTTGGAAAACGCTTTGAAATTACTGGTATGCCTCTTTCTGGTAACATGAATGTTATTCATCAATTTATGTATAATTTATGAAATTTTTTGTTAATTTATTCATTTATAGATACATAGCAATTAAGAATAACACAGATAAGTTACGAAAGTTTACTAGAAATTGTAATATTTTATTCTTTATTGTCATACTGTAACCTACGCGCGCAGTTGGATACTAGACTACGGTCGAATATACATACCGGGTGGAACAGATAAAGGCTGTTTTCTCAGAAGCCATTGCATATATCAACTTGAAACTTTTAGGTGTTAAACTGTATATAGGGATTAACATTTTAGAATGTAAGACAGTGTGGGGGTGAGTTGCTTAAGGGTGGAAATGGTGCACGCCCGTTTTTTTTAAATGAGATGGCATATTAATTTTTCCATATTCGGAAAGATGTTATCAAACCTAATAACTTTTTATCCAAGGCATTTCTTTTTATTCTGCATAGTTAAGGAGTTATAGCGGAAAAACCTTACGGAAGGGGAGTTTCGTGTCTGTGTCGAAATATATCAAATGAAATTCGTGGTTTATGGTATGCTATTAAGCTATTCAGCCCGAGAAGCAAGAATAATTAAAAATCTAACAAAGCAATTCTAATGACCTTCGCCAGGGTGTACTTTAAAACATACAAACAATAAATGAAAATACCATATTTTTGCAGTTGATTGTGCCATAAATCGTTCTAAAGAAGACCTAACATATGAGGCAATTTATTGTTGTAAAATGTTAAAAATTTTTAAAAATTTTTGTTGTTTCTTTACTTGAAAAGCATAACGGGAGATAAGTTCTCGACTCCTTAGAAGCTGATGAATTTATAACATTTTACAACAATAAATTGTCTCATATGACAGGTCGTTTAATTAGTAAAAAGAAAAAAGAAATTTGTATCCATTCCACCAGAGATAAATCATTTGTTAGCTTCTCCTGAAATAAATGTGAGCAGCTGTATTATTTCTCACGTACATGATAGTGACAGTGAAGACATGAATGCAGATGATGACGAAGGGAGTAAAAATACAGATCTTCTACACACTTTCACACAATTAGATGAGCTTGAACTGGCAAATGAACTGACAGAATTTTCAATATATGTTTAATAAAAAACGATTGACGTTACCTACAGAATGATAAATAGCAGCAAGACGATTAACTTATATTCTTTAACATCTCGAGTAACTGGCAAATGAACTGACAGAATTTTCAATATATGTTTAATAAAAAACGATTGACGTTACCTACAAAATGATAAATAGCAGCAAGGCGACTAACTTATATTCTTTAACATCTCGAGTAGTGAGAGGCATTTTGAATTTTTAGTGTTATATTCGTTATCAGCGACCTCAAAAACCCCTAATTACCAAGTTTCAGAAAAATCGGATGAAATCTTGAATTTTTGCCAGTTTTTGGGGGTTCCTGGCCCACTGTACGGTCCAACGAACAATGACGTCGTTTAGTAAAAGAAGAAAGAACATGTATAATCCTTTCTCGCTCTAGTATTAGCGATCTTGGCCTGTTATACGTATCCCGATCCTCTCGCTCGTTCTCCATGGTCTCTCGTCCTATTCGAGAACAAAGTCAAACCAAATGGCATACCTGATCCGTAATAAGCAACTGGTCCTGGGCGAATTACTTATTACGGATCAAAACTGTACTTACACTGATGCTCGGTTAAATTTAAAAAGTTTGGTCCGCTCGTTTCAATTCTCGCGAGCAGGATAGCAGCGTTTTGAGTTTAAGATTTGGCTGTTGAACATCTCGATAAGGAAAGGAAATAGATGAAACCAGAGAAAGTGAGATAGACGTAGTGCATCAGAGGGGTTGAGATAGGAATCGTCGAATATAAAAAATTGCAGTTTCACTAAATTTCATCCTATCTTTGTGAAAATAGAATCGATGAATTAGTGAGATTCTCCTGAATTCACATCAATCATCGATTTAAATATCCGGGATAACGAAAACGATACGTACGAATGCTCTAAATAAAGACATTCTTGCTGGGTAATTAATTTGATATCTGAATTTACGATTTACTTTAAACCTTTTCCAGTAGTAATATGTCATAACATTAAGATGTTTTTACCTCTTTTTTTTTTGTTCAAATTTGGTGCATATTATTTTTGTGGGATTTTTTATATGTAATATATGAAAATTGTAGGTATAAGTTGTCGCTAAAAAATTCATTTTTCCTCCTCATATCATACGCTGCATAAATAAGTAACGAAATATAAATCACTTTGGACAATTTTTAATTATGATTTATCCAGTTAAATGTTTCTTCGCTGATTTTACGGGCATCTTTATTACGTCTGGCGAAAGATAATAATGTTTGATAGCACTTATAGTTCATTAATTCCACGTATATGCACATACCTAATTTTTCTTTTGCATTTAATTTCCGAAACTAAAAAAAAATCGAAGCTTAAGATTATATGAATACTTCTTATGGATTTAATAATGGATCAATTTCATCTGAAACCAGCTGTTTCGTATAAGAATTCGAATAAAGAAGTACGAATAATTTATTGTAAATTTTAGGAAAATAAAATTATACGCAAACAGTGCACCTACTAATACATATAAAAAGTGTGTCTTAGCCACGTATCGTGAAAGAAAAATGTATATTTTGTAATTAACGGATAATCTCAGATGCTTTACGAGTTGAATGATTATTTGATTGATTAGTTCCATTGATTAATTGGATGATATTATATATTATTTTGTTCTATATAGTTGATATATATCTTGTTAGTCATTAGTCGACAAAATAATCTTAATCTTGGTAAATTACACATTGACTCGATAATAATATATTATATATCATACAATCTGAAGTATTTGTCCTTGTTTCCCTAAAAAATTATAAAATAACTAAAACACAGTAATGAAAGTACAAATGCAATAATACTTTAAACACTCTATTAATAATTCTATTACTATTATTTTAATGTTACTCTTTGTAAATTAATGCTACATTTCTGCCAGTCAAGCCTCTCATTCGCAATTTACACGTTCACGAGTGAAGTATTTTTCTCGAAAATGGACAACATTTTTCCCCCTTTTTTTTTTTCGATCGCCTATACGTGATTTTATCAGTGAAAGCTGAAAAACTGTGCTGTCCCTGTTTAACGCTCCAATCTCCAAAATATAAAGAAACAATGCAGCAGATTGTATCTGTTGTCAATCAACGCAGCGAAATAAATTTTTCAGCGAGAAGAAGCACAGAAAAGTTGTTCGCGGAAAATTTCACAATTATCACCTTGAAGCGTACGAATCTCGCGAATCGTCACATTTGCAAGAGTATCAATAAAGTTGGAACACTTGCTCGGACACGAGCTCTAACTGTTAATTCGTTTCTATGATATAATTACAACAATTACGGATTTATCGATACAATGGAGAAAACCGCAAACGATTGAATAATGCAAAAAGCGATCCGCAGAAATGATCGAATGAAAAATACATCTTTGGCGTTTTTCATTAAAGGAAATACATCATGTTTAACGAGAAGACAAAGCGGGGAAATACCTGCGTCGTTTACCCGAAACGAGGCATTCTGAGGAAAATGGTCCCCCAATGGAGGAAAATTATTACAAACGTACACACTTTCGCGGTGAAGCAGGTGCATTTGACTCATTATATCTGTGCATAATTAATAATGAAAAATTATTCCAAGGTACGGGTTCTTTGAGCCTTCTGACTCATTTTGTTGCTACTTAGGAGGGAATGACGTGTACGACGATGCATTATTTTCGATGTTACATTGTTCTCAGGCTCTGTGTATGCGCGTGTGTGATTATCAATTCGCTTGAATCAACTGGAACGATTTGCATTTTCTTTTCTCGCATTATCTTATTCTCGAATTCCTTTGCAGTTTCGTTTCCTTCTTTCTTTTATCCTTGAAGCTGTACACATTTTTTCTCATTGAACATTTATTAAACATTAAGTCATTACCTAAAAATATACACATTAACGACTGTGTACATTCACGTGCAGACTTCTTTAAACGCGAAACTTCATCGGTTTTCCATTATTGCGCGAATATCTAGGTGAATATCAATTTCATTCTTTTTTTTTTTCTTTTAATTCCTTATAAATAAAAAGGTCGTTTTCTGTATTCTTCTTAGAATGAAGTATTATCTTGAGAAATTTTCTGTTCGGTGTAAAGTTTTAAACAAGTAGGTACGTAAATAGAAATACATGACACATCGTTAACAGTATATTTATTCTGAACTATTAACTCGTATTAATATTTTATATTAATAATTGTTCATTTGAACCTCTATGGAACCAGCTCCTTCGAGTGATAATTATCTTTACTAACGTGATATATTAGCTCGTGCCGAAAGCGAAAAATATTTCAATGAAAATCCAAGGGAATTCTATAGGGACGACATAATGGTCTTACCAAAAAAAAAAAGAAAATAGGAAAAAGTTGTGGAACGAAAAGGCGCTTACGTTTTCTTTTAAATCAAATTTAAAGGTTTGTTAGATATATTGCCCCAAATTTAAAAATTCGACACGAATTTGTGAAATGACCTAATATACATATCTACTAATATGAATTCGAAAAAAGTATCAGTGGCATGAGTAAAAATTGAAGTATTCGATTAACCCATTAATTCCCAGAGGTGGAAAAAATATTATTTTCAAGATAGTACTTTTTATTGCAAGCAAATACACATGTAAATACACAGGTAGATATAATAAAAATTTGTAAGCTAAATGGTATGCTATCTCACAAGAAACGTAAATGAAGCTATTTTGACGGATTTCACATATTTTTTCGATCCGTCAAACTGCGAAAGATTAGATAGGCTAATTGTAATTTAGGTATAATTTCAATACAGATAACAATATTAATAAATCGAAGAACATAAAAGACTGTGTCCTTTACGATATAGATCTTATTCGATTGAATTACTAAGGTAATATAATCTTTTTTCATTAGTGTTGAGGCCGATTTCACAGTTAATTTTCTCTCTAAAACGACACGCCATAAACCAGTTCAGAGTTTAACTGTTAGCGTCAATCTTCTACGAACCTCTGAACTGGCCCGTAGCAATAATGAGTTAATGAAGCCATCGACCATCGGTTACCTTCCATAATGTCTTCGACGAGCACCTTCGTCCTTTGTTCGCGGATTAATATTTTTCGCCTTTGAATTTAGTTTTCGCATGTTTAATAGGGTCAAGGCTCTTCATAAGGTTATTACCTGCTACGGACGCGGAATTTCCCGGATGTCACTCGAAGGTGCCCTCGGTACCTAGGGGTGACCAAGGGACTTGGAGACGGTCAGCTTGGGGGTGACTGCCACCAATCAAAAAACCCGACCGTCTTCCCTTTCCAACCTAACATTTCATGATACAGACCAATCCGTGTGTGTCATCCCCCGTCACTGCCCTCCGCACGCATTATTTAAGGACCAGTTTGCGCGGAGCAGGCACAATCAGTTAAAACAAATCGAAAATCAATCAAAGGGACACTAGCGAAACAAATCGTACATAGCCATACCACAACGGTTAAAATCAATCATTTCAACCAGGCTTAGAATTATTAAGTTAAAGCTAAGTCAGAGTGCTCGCGAGAAACGTAACGCGAAGCTCAAACAATTAGTGTTTGTACAATGTGTTTCGTTTACGCAACTTTGGGGATTAATGGGTCAATCAATCGCAAGGCCTCTTAAGTTCCTGAAGAAGGGAAAAGAAAAAAAAAAAAAGGAGAAGAAATATGTAGATAAAACAAGATTGCGTTATTCTGACAAAGGAGAAACAGTTTCATTGCCACTGTTAGTGTCCTTTCGTACTCGTGAAATTTGCAAGTTGAAGAATGTGTACGGTAAAGCACCTGCCTACACGATCCTCACCGTAGATAGGTTTTATCAGATTGGATCATTATCGGTGCTAATATTTTGTTTTAATTTATTCCAGCCGTAGTAGCGTAGGCTTCGTTGAAAATTTATGAAACGTATTTTCCTTTCCCTTTGCAAACATTTACCAAATTGGGAAATTCACGTGGTATTACATAAGACTATTAAATATCACGCGTACGGTTAGCCGGCCATGCGAGGGAACCAACACACGAAGATGATGTCCTCCGTAAATTCAGAGATCCTGCGTACGCGATTGACGTCATCGCATTTCACGAGTCCCAAACCCGACGATTCGATTCCGATTTCGCCGAAAACGCCTGACGCCTGGGGAATTTAGAAATACAAGCGTGAAAGTACGGAAATTACACGGGCGAAAATGTACACGGAGGATACGGAAATGTGAAAGAAAAAAGAAGTTACCTAACTCCGCGAGTCGAGTGGTGGAAGAAGAAAATGCGGTAGCCGAGATTGATTTATCGATGTTGAAAATTGGAATAGAATTTGCTCGAGTTATTTTCAAGTTTACATATTCGAAATTAGAAATCTCTAGGAAGCATAACAGAAAATTCTCATAATAGGGTAATCATTGCGTAAATACTTCTCTGACAGAACGTGTTATCTCTGGTTTATAATATCAAATGTTAATTAGTTCATTTAAACAAAGAATTTCAATATTGTTTACATTCAAAAATTGAAGACATTAGTTGAAAAATATAAACATACAACGGGAGAATGCCTGAATTGTGAAATGTGATATGAATATTTCTTTGACAAATAAGCAAGATTTTTTTTCTTAATTTTCGGTTTTGTAGAAAATGTAGGTTTTCATTTTTAAGAACGTATAAAAGACTTTCGATCATTCTGCTGTGACTTGGTTAATTCCAATATCGCACAGGTAACGAAAAATAATTTCAACTTTATACCGAAGGTTTTCAAATTATCATCGTTTTCCCGCGTTATCTTCTAAACGTAATTTTAATTATTCGCTAAGTCGCGTTTCTGGAATGAAAAATATCGAAGTATCTTGAATAAGTATCACCGTAAATAAGTTCTATACGACAGCTTTCGTGTAATGGCTGCTCAATTGAGATTTAGATGTAAAAGATATATGTTCCGTTTGCTAACCTGTGAATTTTCATGAGTAACATCAATCATCTATGACGCCCATTGTTGCATCGTATTATTTAGCAACGTCACACAGTTTGAGCACAACAAGGTGGCCAAGTAATTGATGAGTTTGTCGTGTGTGACAAGTGTTTAACGAACGATAATAGCTTGGCAAGAAACAATGACATATAGGGTGTTAAAAGGAAATCGCGAAGATTACGAGAAAACTACTTAATTGGAGATAAATTATACATTAACATCTCGTAAAGAGAAAGGAAAGAAATTAATGTTTCTTTAGAAATTAACAGATTCCATATTACAGGGCCATTATCGGTAGTCGATAATTTTCGCTAAGCAAACAGAAATGTTGATTTTACTGTACCTACTGTTGAAAAAAAAACTGGCTTAAAATAAAATTGAATAGAATCGTTGCTTTTTCTCAAATGAAATATTGAAATGTAACCTGCTCACTGAAATTGAAAATTTTGTCGAATATGTATATTTGTTTTTAAATTACCGGCAATAGGAAAAAATAGCCGCGTAATGTTATTTCAAAGAAACATATATATGTATTCTTTTTATATTATTTTTATTTAATTTTTTTATACATTTTCGTATTACTATATTTCCCCCTATTGTCGACAATTAAAAAATCCGTTTCTGTTGAACTTTCTAAAAAGGGAAACTATTGAATTGCAATCTGATTGAAATGCGGAGGAAATTAGGGAAAACCAGTGAATCGAATGGTAGTTTAATTGACCATTGAATGGAAATCAGTTTTTTCGATCGAGCAATTTTTTTTTTCCCCTAGCAAATATCACGTGCTAACGTGTAAAACCAGTTAAACCTGTCTAGGCTTCACTTTTGGACGCAATTATCACAAGTTATCTGGTAATTCCAGCAGCATGCATACCTGCATGCATTATGGTAATCTTAATATGTAGATGTCTCGTAATTGCAATTTTTGTTTCACCTTTTCCTTTTTCTCTTCTTTTCCAATCGTAGTACTTTCTAAAATCACTATTTGAAAAGGTCGTCACGCGTTCTGAAGAATCTACATACATACTTAACATCCGCATCTAGAATTCCGCGCACGTGTTAACTGTTTCTGCACGTTTAATTACTGTTTACGTACCGTTAACATCTTCACGGCTAACCACGGGACAATCAATTGTCACAAGAGTTTGTATACACGTGTCATTAATCCATCCTCAAATGTTCAACATTATCGAAATGTAGTTAAAGGATGATCGCCGTTGAAACGTGAATTGTACAAATTTCGACAACTTTCTTTTATCTTTGATACAATGCATAAGTAATAAATGAGCCACTCAGAAGCCAAAATGATTGATTCCACTTTTTCATATTCTTTCAATTTTAGTATCAAAGCCAAAATGATTAATTCCACTTTTTCATATTCTTTCAATTTCAGTATCAAAGCGTACACTTAGGTGCTTGATGTTTCATAAATAAAACAAATTTAATAAATTTTATTTTATGGAGTTAGTCACTTTGGCTTCTGAGCGGCTCAGATAAAAGTAAGAAATAGAGGTACATACTTCTAACCTTTAAAAAATATATATTTTACATATGCATATATATATTTTTTTTTAATTTTTTATATTATATATAAATATTTGCATATAATAAAGTACTATGTTACAACTTGTTTCAGCTTCACAAAATCCTGAAAAAAATCTGTTATGCTCCTTGGGAAGGAAATGGCTGTATGAACGAATCAAAAGCACTTGTAGGAAAAAGTTGCTCTATAAAAGGGTGCCTATTACAGCATGGATACAAAAGTATGACAAGGACTATATAGTAAGTGATCTTGTTGCCGGTATTACCGTAGGCCTTACCGTTATACCACAAGCGATAGCTTATGCGAATGTCGCAGGACTCCCTCTACAGGTAAGAATATTTTACGTATGTACCTTAAGAAAATTTTGTTAAACACACTTGCTTTAAAAATTAGCTTAAATTAATTTAAACCGCTGCTAATAAGTGATAAAAAAATGAAATTATTTGCACAGTGATTATAACGTGTAAAATGTCTATTTAAAGATAGTCCTGTAAAATTTGCGCAAATAATTAACTGATAGTAACACGAATTGCATAACAAACGTGCGGTAACTTTATATACAAAGTCCTTTTAAATTGTTCCATTTTGTGAGAGTAATTTAGTACAAGTGGTAAGCACAATGTAATACTTCAAATTTAGTAATAATTCGCATTTTCGCGCGGCTGCAAAATTTCTTATTTGTTATTGTATCGTTTTAAAAATTCGGTTTATTAAATTAAGATGGAGGTGCGAATTTTGAAAACGCCTATAGGCGCCAATAGTAATGAAAGTGTTAAGATGTGACCCCAGCTTGCGCCTAATACGCCTTACGGTAAATGCGCGGCCCTGATTAAAGATCATGCTACTAATAAAACCTACTCTTAAAAGACATCCTATCGAATATAGGAAAAATATAAGAAAACGTGTCGTTTACCTTACAGTATGGCTTATACTCGTCTTTCATGGCGTGCTTTGTATACACCATCCTAGGATCCTGCAAAGATGTGCCAGTCGGACCAACTGCAATTATCGCAATTTTAACAAGAGAAACGTTACAGAAATCCGATTTAGGACCTGATTTTGCGATCCTGTTAACCCTCATTTCTGGCTGTGTCTGTTTATTAATGGGAATTTTACACTTAGGTAATTATTGCTTACATTGGTCAATATGGGACTCCCTGAACTCCCGAAACTTCGATATCTTCCTAATTCAATTTTTATAAAATTCTATACGATAGAATACTTCTAAAATTTGAAACTATATAAAAAGATCGATAATGTTTAAAATATTACTAAATACTTTTTTTACGCAGCTTAAATAAAAAATTTGCACGTTTTCTGTTATCAGGTTTCTTATTGGACTTCATATCAGGACCAGTCTCCGTCGGTTTCACATCAGCCGCAGCAATTATCATTGCTACTAGCCAAGTGAAGGATATTCTAGGCATTCATATCGGTGGCAGTAAGTTCGTCGAAGTATGGCAGAATATATTCGAAAAAATCGGCGAAACGAAGCTCTGGGACACTGCGTTGGGCATCACTTGTATAATTGTACTTCTTCTTCTTAGAGTTAGTATTACCACGTTGTACAATGTAAAAATAACAGTGTCGCTTTACACACTCACACACACACACTTATCATGTGATGTTAGAATATTTAAGTGTTGAAAGTGTTTTCATACTAACAACGATCGTAGTTTCGCTTTTCCTCAATTACATGTGTCCACTTACGTGGTACAGCACGTATTACTTATAGTGAATGATTCGTCGAATTACACTGTTCATAAATTAACTTCTTACGGCTGCACACGTGTTACTTTCACGCAAACATCATTGCATGTCGGATAAATAAATGTTTGATACATCCTGAATGTTACTCGCTGAAAGCATGGCTTTAATGTATGTACGAAACGATTCGAATAATACTTTTAAAATTTCGTTGAAATTCGTTGTGAATATGTAATACGAATGAAAACTCCACTGGAACTTGAACTATTAAAATTTCATTCGTTTTATTGCGTCGTTACTTTTTTCTTTTTTTTCTTTTTTACGATAAAAATTATTTGTTTCATGTGCTTTCTTTTCTTGCAGAAACTCAAAGATATACCGTTTATGCAGAAAGCCGCGAAAATGTCGTCGAAAGTGCAAGTGATTATGCAAAAATCCCTTTGGTTGCTTTCTACGGCTCGAAACATTCTCGTGGTCCTCGTTTGCGGCATCATGTGCTGGCTTTTAGAAAGTCACTTAGGTTCCTCGCCTGTTAGACTGACGGGCCATGTTAAACAAGGACTTCCGGAATTTCGGCTGCCACCGTTTCAAACCAACCACAAGAACGAAACTTACGACTTCGTTGACATGGTCTCCGCCCTTGGTTCTGGATGTCTAGTCATTCCTTTATTGACTCTCTTGGAAACCATCTCTATTGCCAAAGTCTTTAGTAAGCTCTATAACATAAGCTTCGTACCATTTACGATAAAATCACACCGTGTCGAGACAACATTGTATGCAAACATTTAATATATTGCTTGTATCGAAAGAGCAAGCCAAACATTTACCGAACACATACAGGGTGTTTCCTTTGTCCTGAAAAATTGGAATATCTCGTGAGGGACTGAACCTATCAAAACACTGTTTTAACAAAAGTTGTGTGATATGAAGGGGGACACCGTATGATGTAAATTATTTTTTTGCAGGTTGAGTGGTGGGAGGAAATTTCAAAGTCAAGTACATTTTTTTTAAATGGATTCATACATTTTTTGTTATGTAATTTATGAGGTAATTTATTGTTATAAAATATTACAAATTTGTTTTTTCTTTAATTAAAAATTAGTAAGTCGGTAAGGTGTAAAGCATAACGGGAGGTAAGTTTGAACTTTATTTACAGTGTGACGTGCAGCCTAATAGCCGTCAGCCAGTGACTCCGGCTCACTTAACTCCTTAGAAACTGATAACATTTTACAACGTTAAATTACCTCATATGGCAGGTCGTTGAATTCGTCTCAACAAATGCCATCACACTATGAAAAAGATATATATATAAAAAAATGAATTTGACTTTGAAATTTCGCCCCACCACTGGACCTGCAAAAAAATAATTTGCACCACAAGTGTCCCCCTTCATACCACACAACTTTTCTTCAAACATTTTGTTGATAGGTTCATTCCCTCTGGAGATATTCCAATTTTTCAGAATAAAGGAAACACCCTGTACAATACGTGTTTCGGTTCTGTCGATAGTTTTCGCTGAACGCATGTATGTATATACGCGCTGTTCGCTGGCAAAGAGCTAAAAACAGCTTATCGCTTAATTTTGTGTTCCATTAAAGATCGATCTTCGACATGTTATAATGAAATGTACTAAAAACGATCGTAATTTCTGACTTTAATGTTATTCCAAAGCCATATATACATATACATATATCACTGTGCACTAATTATTACATAAATATTAAAGTGTCGTATTTTATTTAAAAAAAAGTTAAGATTGTCTTAAAATTCGAAAAATACAAAAATGAAGAAAGGAATATGTTCGTTGTTAAGGAGATGTGATCGATAGATGAGAATTATTGGATATGGTATGATTTCAGATGAAGGTAAACCAATCGATGCAACACAAGAAATGTTGGCTTTGGGTGCTTGTAACGTTGTCTCGGCTTTCGTTTCTTCCATGCCTGTCAGTGGTGGCCTCAGCCGCGGAGCCGTGAACCATTCGTCCGGAGTAAAGACCACTCTTGGCGGTGTTTATACCGGTCTTTTAGTACTCGTGTCGCTTCAGTTCCTCACCCCGTATCTGTACTTTATTCCTAACGCTGCCCTTGCGGCTATCATCATCGCCGCTGTCATCTTCATGGTGGAATTGCACGTGATCAAGCCTATATGGCGAACGAAAAGTACGATGTATAATTTTTATCAATATTTTACTTTAAATTGCTGCATCTATCACTTTATCAATGAAATATTTAAGTAACATAAATAGAATTAACTCGATTTATTCACATACGTATGTAAGATACTAAAAGAGATCTTCTGTAGGATATGTATATGTATAAAAATCAACAATATTTGTCATTTAAGAAATTGTATATAACGTGAAGATAAAATTTTTATCTTTTTCACTGACTTCTACGTGTCATTCGAAAACTGTATCTCGAGAAATACTTTCGAATAATTTTTTTTTATCGTTATATTAATTGAAAGAATTTTGATTTTACAATTTACACAAGTATGGGGAACAAGTAAAAAAATCTATCGACAATTTTGCGCGAATAATAGTAGTGATTGAATAAATATAGTTAATGTTTTCAGAAATTGATCTCATACCAGCAATAGCCACATTTTTATGCTGTCTTTTTATAAGGCTTGAACTAGGTATAGTAATTGGTATCGGTATAAACGTCCTGTTCCTACTTTACGCATCAGCGAGGCCGTCGTTACGAGTTCATAAAGATACAGTAAGAAAGCTATCATTTTACAGTATCCTTATTAATTTACCTCTGTCCCTTATACTTGAAAATAAAATACTCATGTAATGAAAATAATGATCCTTTACTTTTTACATTAATAATATAAATATTTGTTACAGTTTTATTAAGCTTATTTGTACTATATTTTGTTATAGAGCATTAACGGCTGTGAATATCTTGTCATAACGCCCGACAGAAGTCTCGTTTTTCCGAGTGTCGAGTATGTGCGGGCTGTAATTAGTAAGCAAGGTACAAAACAGGGAATCACAGTACCTGTTGTCATAGATTCCACGCATATTCAAGCAGCAGATTTTACGGCCGCAAAGGTACGTTATAAAGTACAACTTTTACGTGCAAAGTACAAAATTATCGATTGCGCAACTTCTGTCAATTATATTAAAGTTAACATATTAATTATGTAGGGTATTAAAAGTTTAACGGAGGATTTTTCTAAACGTGGACAACCTTTGATCTTTCATAATTTAAAACCGAGTGTTATTGAAATTTTCAAAGGTGTAAGACCCTCTGGTTTAAGATGTAGTTCTAGCGAACTTGAACTTAATGACTGCCTGAAAGGTAATTAAAATATCGTCACTGTTAAATAATGTACGTGATATATGCATGTGTCTGTTAATTTACACATCGGTTTTATTTATTTCCAGAATTTTCAAATATTTCGGCAGCTACCATGAACAGGTACTGACAATACTTAGACTTTTATCAAAATTCCGCCCTGGAAGTACTGTTTTCTTATTTTATATGTATCAGTATTATATTAACGAAGACGGACAATAATACAAACAATATTATAATAAGAAAAAGCAATGTATTTTTAATAGTTGTTTTAAGATAACGATTAACCCTTTCAACGGAAGAGAGAATTATATGATACACAATGATAATATAAAATTGACTTTAAACACAAGCTGAAAATTTATGAACAAATTATATTGCATTAATATTGTGTGAAAGGGGTTCATTAAAATATAAAATGTGTATATAAACTTATAAATGAATCTATCGACGCAAGCCTATATAAACTGGCAATAATATTTTACATAATTTTATACACAACACACGCATGTACGCAAGGACACACATATTTTTGTACACGACTATTTAAAAATGACTTCTTTATATATTTGACATATTTTAATACTTCACATTGTTCAAAAAAATATTAACAAGTACTAAAAAATATTTTCGTTGCTTTATTTAAATATTACACCATAAAAATGGAAATTTGAAAATTTCTTTCAAAAATGTATTATCCTTTTCCAAAAATTAAAAAAAATTATTTAATATAGATATGAAAATAAATTTCAAAGTTTTTATTAGTTTTTATGATGTATATCTTTTTGTTATTTAAAATTTGATAATTATTTTTCGCTACTATATCATTTAATTTGTATCCAAGACTCTTGCACCCATTGCAGGACTTGCTATATAAAATGTTGCATTTCCAGAATATCTGTAATGAAGCAGTATTTGTAAAAATTATTGTCAAATTGTAAAGTTGTAAAAGTGTAAAAAAAATAAAATCTTACTTGGCCTTAATGTGTTTAATTGTTTTATCAATTATGTCTTTTTTCAATAATGTTACTGTACAACCACCAAAACCAGCACCAGTCAATCTACTTCCTAAAACACCTTTTATTTCTCTTGCTGCTGTTACTAAAGCATCTAATTCATCAGAAGAAACTTCATAATCATTTTTTAATGAATTATGACTTTCATTCATTAACTGTCCAAATATATTAAAATCCCCCTTTTCAAGAGCAACCACAGCATCAATTGTTCTTTGAATTTCTGTGACTACATGACGAGTTCTTTTTATCATTTCCTCAGATACATTTTGAGATTGTAAGACTACAGAAAAAGAATATAAAGTGAAAATATTAAAATCAAATCAAAATACTAGAATATAATTAAAAAACTAATTTTGTTCCTTAAATTATATCTCCTACACTACCTTGAATATCACTTATAGATACTTCACGCAAACTTTTTTTATTTAACCTTTTTGCTGCTTCATAACAACTATCTCTGCGCTTACAATATGCACTTGAGCTTAATTTATGAGGAGCATTAGAATTAGTAATCAGAAAAGCATAATCATTTATCTGTGACATAGGTATTTGCTTTGTACTAAGATCTTTGCAGTCAAGAAGAAGAGCATAGCCTTCTTGCCCCATTACAGAAATAAATTGATCCATAATACCACATGGAACTCCAGCAAAATCATGTTCAGCACGTTGACATGCTAAGGCCTGACAAATATTGTAAATAAATTTTCTTATTTCATTAAAATCAAAGTAAAAGTACTAATTATATAATTATACTTTATCCTCAGGTTTTTTGGATTGTACACCAGTTAATGCTTCTAGAAATGTATAGGTAGCAACCTCTAAAGCAGCTGAACTACTAAGCCCAGCACCAACTGGTACAGATGACACAATTACAGCATTGAAAGGTGGTACATCACCTGGGATTGATATATTTTAAATAACTCTCCACAGTATAATTACATAATATTAATTGTTTTGTTATAGTACTTTTAAAAGATCAACTCACAAATAAAATTTCCTATACATCCTTTTACATAATTAGCCCATTTTGGTTCTCCTGGTTTTATACTCTTACAGTTAGCTTCAAATTCAACCTGATTTTCAGAACCAACTGTTTCACTAAGGGAAATAATCTTACACTTTTTCGCATGGCTAAGTTTTCCAGCTATAACTGTAACCATAGGCAATGCCTACAAATTTAAATAAGCATGTTATGTTTTGATTTATTATTACCATTAATTATAACATTTTGAACAATTTTATTAACATAGTATAAA